GTTTGTTTGTTTGTTTGTTTGTTTGTTTGTTTGTTTGTTTGTTTGTTTGTTTGTTTGTTTGTTTGTTTGTTTGTTTGTTTGTTTGTTTGTTTGTTTGTTTGTTTGTTTGTTTGTTTGTTTGTTTGTTTGTTTGTGTGTTTGTTTGATTGTTTGTTTTTTTGTTTGTTTGTTTGTTTGTTTGTTTGTTTGTGTGTTTGTTTGTTTGTTTGTTTGTTTGTTTGTTTGTTTGTTTGTTTGTTTGTTTGTTGTTGTTGTGGGTTGTTGGTTGTTGGTTGTTGGTTGTTGGTTGTTGGTTGTTGGTTGTTGGTTGTTGGTTGTTGGTTGTTGGTTGTTGGTTGTTTGTTTGTTTGTTTGTTTGTTTGTTTGTTTGTTTGTTTGTTTGTTTGTTTGTTTGTTTGTTTGTTTGTTTGTTTGTTTGTTTGTTTGTTTGTTTGTTTGTTTGTTTGTTTGTTTGTTTGTTTGTTTGTTTGTTTGTTTGTTTTTTGTGTTTGTTTTTTTGTTTGTTTTTTTGTTTGTTTGTTTTTTTGTTTGTTTGTTTGTTTGTTTGTTTGTTTGTTTGTTTGTTTGTTTTTTTGTTTGTTTGTTTGTTTGTTTGTTTGTTTGTTTGTTTGTTTGTTTGTTTGTTTGTTTGTTTGTTTGTTTGTTTGTTTGTTTGTTTGTTTGTTTGTTTGTTTGTTTGTTTGTTTGTTTGTTTGTTTGTTTGTTTGTTTGTTTGTTTTTTGTTTGTTTGTTTGTTTGTTTGTTTGTTTGTTTGTTTGTTTGTTTGTTTGTTTGTTTGTTTGTTTGTTTGTTTGTTTGTTTGTTTGTTTGTTTGTTTGTTTGTTTGTTTGTTTGTTTGTTTGTTTGTTTGTTTGTTTGTTTGTTTGTTTGTTTGTTTGTTTGTTTGTTTGTTTGTTTGTTTGTTTGTTTGTTTGTTTGTTTGTTTGTTTGTTTGTTTGTTTGTTTGTTTGTTTGTTTCTGTGTGTGTGTGTGTTTGTGTGTGTGTGTTTGCTTGTTTGCTTGTTTTTGTTTGTTTTTGTTTGTTTGCTTGCTTGCTGGCTGTCTGGCTGTCTGGCTGGCTGGCTTGCTGGCTGGCTGTCTTGCTGGCTGGCTGGCTGGCTGGCTGGCTGGTTGGTTGGTTTGTTTGCTTGCTTGCTTGCTTGGTTGTTTGTTTGTTTGCTTGCTTGCTTGTTTGTTTGTGTTTGTTTGTTTGTTTGCTTGTTTGTTTGTTTTTGCGGGCCATTTAGTGGTTCTCCCTCCCCCCGCTGTCCCTACCCAATTGAGGAAAATCTTAACAAATATCATATGTGCCATGGTCAAAGCTCCGAATCTGATGATGATGATGATGATGATGATGATGATGATGATGATGATGGGAACCCTTGCAATGGTTCAATGGCTGCCAAAACAAAACTATAAAGGCGACTCCTGCCTTGAAGAGACGCAGAGCCAGGGCTTCCGGGCAGTCTGTCGAACAGACGAAGCATGTGGAAGGACACCCCACCCCCGGACGATCCTCCTATGGCTGCGGGTCCAAACCGTTTTGGAACCATTTTGGGATAGGTGCACCACCCAGTTTAGAACCTATTTTAGTGGGGATTGGGATGTTCACTGGGGGTACTGGATTTTGACCCATGGCCATATCGGACGAGTCTCATTTGCTAAAAAGCCCGTCTTTTGAGTTGCATATTAGTTTCTAGAAGAGCTTCCTGTGATACTGTTGTGTGGTGAAGTCCCATCCCCGTGACTACTTTGTCACTCAAGAAAGGGGAGTCCAGCTTAGTATCAGGGGAATTGGCCCAAACAAAAAAATAGCTTGCCACAAATAGGCTGTTGTCTGGTAACCTTTTGTCTGAAACATTGGGATCTCGTTAAGGACTGGAGAACGGCCACCGAGAGGAAAGTCCGCCAAATCAAGCCGTTCGTTGGAGAAGAGCCAGCGGAGCTGCACCCCAGCCAGTGGTTTGTTCGCATCTGCCAGTCCCGGGAGATCGGACTCAAGGGCTACAGACCGCCAACACAGGCAGGAAGGCGAGAGGGGAACATGGCGAGAGAGGAGGCCGGAGATGCTCTAACGCAGGACTAGCTAGGTGAGAAGGGAAAAAAAGCCTTCCAGCGACTCTGGTGTAACCAAAGGGGCTTGTGGCCTGCTTGGAGCTATATGAGCGAATTGGGTGTGTACCACTTCCGATTTGTGCTGCCCAGTGCAATTTTGCATTGCCGACCTTTGGAGCCGCCAGCCGGCCAGCAGGCAAGGGAAACACGACAGCAACGGAAAGCCGCGTTTAAACCAAACAACGAACCAACCGACCGAGCGACCGACCAACCAAGCAGCCAGCCAGCCAGCCAACCAATCAACCAACCAACCAACCAACCCTTCAACCAACCAGCCCAACCCTTCAATCAACCAGCCAACCTACCTACCAATCAAGGCAAGCCAACCCAAACCCATTCCTCCCAAACCCCAGCCGCCCCTTACCCTCCCCTCCCGCCAGCGCCTGGACTTCTCACCTGGCAGCACAGCAGCACCACCGGCACCGCCAGCGCAGTTCGGGCCAGCCAAATGAGGCGCAGGCCGAAGCCCATGGCCGCCACACCCAGGCCTCATCCAACGCCCGTGGTAGCTGGCTGTTGTCAAAACCAATTAAACCAATGGGATCCCATTTTGGTTGGTAGGTGAATTCACCACCCATTTTAGTTTATGGGTAACTGGCTGCCGGGGATGTTGACTGCGCTGGTGCAAAACGAGTCAAACCACAGAAGAACCAAGGGAGATTGCACCTGCCAGTTCCAAGACAGAAAATCCCGGAAAAAATCCAAAAACAAAACGGGAAACAATCCCAAAACAAATCGGGACCCCTTCTTAATTCTTGAAGCATGGTTCTGGGCTTACGACCACTTTAATACCGGTTTTGACCACCAGCACATGGGTATGGGGTCAAAATAAAACCACCACCAGGGGGCCGCAGGTTTTACTTTTTGGTTCAATTTACCCGTACCAAATGCCCGTACCGTTTTGACCACCACATCGTTTTAACTCGGCAGCATCCTTTTCAACATCCTCAGCATCACGAGTTGGATTTGTCAGGCTGGGTTTAGGGTGGGTTTAGGTTGGCTAGGGTTGGTTCATGGTGGGTTCCAGGCTTGTTTAAGGCAAGTTCGGGGGTGGCTGCGCTTAGGTACTGGATGGTTTAGTGCTGGTTTATGGTGGGCTTCTTGGGGGTTGGTTCAGGGGTTTAGCGCTGGTTTACGGTGAGTGTAGAGTTTGTTTAGGCTGTGGTTGTGTTTAGGTGGGATGGTTTAGTGCTGGTTTGGTTTGTTTGGGGGAGGGGTAGGGGGGCGGTTGGTGTCCTTTGGGCGTGTTCAGGGTTTAGTTTGGGTTTCGTGCGGGGGGTTAGGGATTGGTTTTGGGGTTGCTTTAGGGAGCTATAGGGTTGGGGGGTGGTTTGAGGTTTGAGGTGGGCTTATTAGCTATGGCTTTGCGCTGGTTTAGTGCGCATCGTATAATACAAACCCACTCCAAACCAGCATCAATACAGAATAAGACAAACTTAGTGCAGACTTAGGGTTGGTTTGGGTGGGGTTCGAGTGGTGTTTGGGGCTTAGGGTTGGTTTAGGGTAGGTTTAGAGTTGAGGGATAGTCTCTTGCTGGTTTGGAGTGGGTTTGTTTAGGGTTTTCTTTAGGGAGTTTTGCTGGTTTAAGGTTTTCTTTAGGGTTTCTTTAGGGCTGGCTTTTAAGGTTGGTTCTAGTTTTAGTGGTGGTTTGGGGTGGGTGTCGTGGTGGTTTAGGGTTGGTTTAGGTTGTTTTTTGGCCAAAACGTGAGTTTAGGACCGTGGGCGTTGGATTCATTGGGGTTCGTTGCCTACGAAGAAGCGGGGGGGTTGGGGGGGCGCAGAAACATGGGAGGGAAGAAGCCACCAGCCAAAAATCCAAAAAGCCAAAAGGCGGTGATGCTGGGGTGTTACTGGTGATGATGCGGAAAGCCAAAGCCACAAAGGCTACAAAGTAAAGCCAAAAAGCCAAGCCAAAAAGCAAAAAAGCCAAACGCCCAAAAGCCAAAAAGCCAAGAAACCAAAAAGCCACAAGCCAAAAGCCAAAAAGCCCAGACTCCAAGAAGACAAAGGCCAAAAGCCAAGAAGCTAAGAAGCCAGATAACGCAAAATCCAGGAAAACATCCTAAAGAAAAACGGGGAAAATTCCCAAAATAAATAGCCCTAAGAAGGTGTCATGTTGCTACCTTTTTTTGGAGAGCCACAGCCATATTTGAGAAAAGGCTGTGGTTGTCAAGACCGTTTTGGTTGATCCCATTGTGCTTGGGATTGGTGAATTCACCACCCATTTTAGGCGTTTGACCCATCGCACATACCTGGGGAAAGCATAGGTGTCCTTTTAGGGGAAAATAGATGGGTTTCCCTGGTAGACGATGAAACCACCAGGTAAACCAGGACCATCTAATTTCTCTACCAAAACAACCAAAAAATCCTGGAAACGAGCGCCACTTTTGGAGGTGGGGGGGGGAGGAAGAGTTCCAGTTTTTCCATGGGGGTTATGAGAGCTGCTGGCAACCTGTTGAGGCATCCTTCTCGGAGACGTATCTGAACAGACGGAGTGAAGTGACAATCATCCCATGAAATGATGCGATATCGAAACAAGCTTGGCTGTCGTTCCTTCTTACTCCCTGCTTCAAACCCAAATGGGACTCTCATCTTATTTTTCAGTGGGGCTGACCCTTACGCTGTAGGATGTGAAGACTGTCAGTCAGTCATCATCATATTCGACCTGATAGCCTCATGGGAGGGGTGCTAAGCCGGTTTTTTCTACATCCCATTGATCAAGCGTATCTTGCATCAAGCACACTGAATTCGCACAGCAATTGGCAAAAGAACCGAACGAATTTCCAAAGGCGACCGGAACTGGTTGCTGTCCCAGTTCACCTTTCAACAATCAGAAGGAGGTTGATGAAAAGATTCAAGGAACATGGGATGACCATCAGTTGGAAAACCACCAAAAGGATTTGATATATTTCAACGTAGGAAAGGGGGAATCACACCCGTATGAATAAACTGGGGTTGATTGATATGGGGTCAACATTACTGGGCTGTCCTCAGATCCCCCACTCAAAGTGTAACTTTTAGTGGGTTAAATGCAAATCCCCACTAAAAAGCTAAAAAGCTAAAAAGCTAAGGAACCGGATTGGCTGGGAGCCACCAAGATTAGTGATCAATTATCAGGTGTCAAACCTGGATGCCGAGGCGCATAGGAAGCAGCAGCACTGCAGGTCATTCACCTGCACCAAGGTCAATTCGGTGCTCGTCTTTTTCGAGAGACCCCTGTTTTTGGTGTTACAAAGAAAGGGAAACCAGAAGGAAAGCCGGAAAACCACTTTGGGACACCATTCTTACCTTCCTGCACAGCGCTTGCGTGAAGAGTCCTGAAAGCCTCGCTGTTGTCCCTCACGTGAATCAGACAACTCAGGAATATGAGCTCGGGCGAAACACAAGGCCGAATGCCGCATCCGCAGCCTCAAAGGCAGCATCACCAGCATCACCAGCATCATTTGGGCGGCTGTTGTTTTGCCGATCCATCACAGAAGCCCATACTGACAGGTGAGAGTCCCCTCATCCCAACCATCCGGCAGAAAAATACGGCGTTTCGGGGGGCCGAGGCCTGGGATGCTCAGTCCTGGTCTTGCATTCATTTCATGACGCGTCCACGCCAACCACAAAACATGACTGCCCAACACTATGTGGGGTTCTGAACAACTTGAGCCTTTCCAACAGTACGTCGAGTCTTCCTCTTGTCAAGTCCCAACCTGGTGCAGAAATACATGATGGCTGCCAGCGGTTTGTTTGCCGGTTGGGTGGGATGGGGTGGGACCTCTACGACTCTGCGGGCCTCTGTCCGTCAGAACGGGCCTTCAGTGAGACTTCCCACCTCACCGTCCGAACTTCAAACTCTACCAACTCCAAATTCCCCGTGGCCCTTTTTGAAGCCTCGCGTCCAGAAAAAAGCAGAGATCCCCATTTGACATGTAGAACCCCCGCCAACTTCACTGGTCCATTTTTCCCCAGGAGGGTACCCGACGGGAGGGACGATACTTGCAAGTGCCTAAACATTGGACTGAGGCCGGGGGGTAGCGGGAGAAAGAACAAGTAAAAAAAAGAAAAGAGTCCTGATCGTAGGAGCAGGCTGCAAGTAAGAAAACCCTCTCGCCAACATGGAGCCGGGGTGCTCCAGTCGGCTTTCATGGCAACTTGGATTGGAGCCAAAGACAACGAGCTGGAAAACCTCATACAGCTACACTCAGGGTTCCACTTTTTGACTACCCCAGGATAGACTTAAACGCAGGGGTTCTCCTTTTGGGGGGAATGAACCACCACTGGGTTTTACTGTACCCTGGCGTAGTCAGAAAGTAGAACCCAGGCTACAATGTTTCCTCACATGTTTCACCTCACATTGAGCCCGCTACATGGTCCATCCCTGAGAAAGAAAAACGATACCGGATGACGCAGCAAATCTCTGGTTGGAACACCACCAGAAAAGATGAGTTTTTTCCTGACATGGGAAAAGTTGCCCTTGGTCCAAGCTGGGGTCCTTTTTTTTGAGTATGGATCAACCCCCGCATACCCTCATTCTAACGGCCAATACACCACCGTGGCGTTTTTGCTTTTTGTTTTTTCACTCGCTTTCGGCCCGGATGGGCACAAAGTACACCGCGAATCGATCTGCTTCCCCCTCCCCTCACAAACCGCCGCCGCTTTCCGACCGCTCGCCGGCCACCGAACCGCTCACCCGAGTCAGAATCCAAACTCGGTATTAAATGGTCGACCCAGAACCAAAGAATCAAGAAGGCGGACATCCGCAGCCATTTTTATGCTTGGGATTTTTTCTCTTACCTTCACTTACCCGGGTTTTGCTGCAGCGTGGCTCGCCTGGCGCTGGGCGTAGGGCTGCAGCGTGCCCACCAAGACCCCCACCAGCACGCAGAAGCCCACCGAGAAGCCCAGGCCGTGCTCCGTGGGCGCCGCCTGCCGACCCGCTGAGCGGCGCATGCGTTTGGGGCGCATGGGGCGAGACCCCGGCTGAGTCCCGAGAGAAAGCGGACTTTGCAAGGGCCGACTGGTGCCAAGCACGCCCCCGACAGGAAGAAGCACCCGAAGGCACGACTCACTCCCAGAACGTGTCCAGGACAAACCCCTTCTCCTTCCTTCTCCTGTTCCTTACTTCTTCCTTTTTTCCAGCAATGGACGGTTGTTTCAAAGAACGTGTGTTTTGCACTTTTTGCGCCCCCAAAAATGCGAAACGCACGTTCTTTGAAGCAGGGGTTCTTCCTTGTCTTCCTTCTCCTTCCTTCTCCTGTTTCAAAGAACGAACCCCAAAAGGTCGCTACTAGCTCCTGATAGACCCTGGCCAATCTAAAGGGGGACCCTTGACAGCCATAGGCAGGCTTCCGTTTTCCGACCCTTTGCCCACTTCAACCCAGGGGGTTGATTTCCCCAAAACCAAAAGAAACCGGGGCCAAAAGGTTTCAGCCGACCTTGGGGTCAAAAAAAACGGAACCCATTGGATCAGACCGGCGAGACCAAAGGCCCAAAACCGAAGCTGCTCGGTGCCCGAAAAGCTGCAGTCACCGCTTCTTTTAGCTGTATCTCTGAAACGGGAAGTGACGGGGCGCGGCAAATATCTCCTCTCTCTCTCTCTCTCTCTCTCTATAATATATATATAATGTACACATAGATATATATATATACACGTATGTGTACATAATTATATGTTTATGTATATAATGTAGATATTCAAGATACGTGCAATGTTATATACACACATATACACATGCATATATGTATACATATGATCTGGCTTCCTCAGCCCAAATAAAGAAAAAAACTACGCAGCCCAGTGGCAGCTACCAGAGCCACGGTCGCAAGTCTCAGCACGATCTCCACCCAAACATCTTGGCACCAAACCTCAGCTTCTGGACAACGCAACGCGACAAAGACCTCCAGGAGATGCCTGCGATCGGTGCGATAGGTAGGGAATGACTTGCCGAGTCCGGGTGTTGGATTCGAATGAACTGGTTTGGGGATTCCCGAACAAAGGAAACCATAGGAAATGGATGGCTTCTATGGGTCATTCCCTCATTCCATGCTGAGAGCCATCAAGTATGTATGTTTCGTAACTGAAGGGGCTATATCACCCCTATTTTCCAGCAATTTGAGGGTCCGTGCGCCCTATGCCCCATGTAAAGTGGGATCCAAATATGTTCCTAACCCATAAACGTCGCCAACTCATGTTGAACTGGCAACCAAAAAGTGATGTGCAGAAACACCAAGAGGGCAGCTTCCCTTTAATTGGTGGCTTGGATTGGTGGTTTGGTGGTTGAGGAGGGGTTTCCCATTTACCCTCTACAAGAACCAGGGGTGCCAATCCAAACCACCAATTGAGGGTCACTGTACCTGAAGAGGGAAGCATAGGCTGGTTCGAAGCCGGATCCGCTTTCAGTTCAGGGCTCCGCTCGCATCCGCGGATGCTGGGCAACCCTTTTCGAGAGGCTCGGTGGCCTGATCAAACCCATCCAAAAGGCAGTGGCTACCGTGGGTTTAACACCCACGTCGCACCAGTTGGTGGTTTATCCCGGTTGGTGTCATCCATCCCGATTGCGAAGTGAGTTTGGCTCCCCACGAGCAAACGACTCAGCGTAGGCCACCAGTCCGCCAAGCGGACAAACACCACGCAACTTGACAAAGACCCAATCAAGCCCCAAAACAGGCGGCATCGGAAGAAACTTCAAATGAAGCGGAACAAAACCGGAAACCAGAACAACTCTGAGGCCTTGAAGGAACACCCAAATCGGTTTCGACGGCAACCCGTTGATCCCACCTGAAGCTTAAAAAAATGACGTTGACACACGTCAGGAAAAGGGGATGGAGTGCCAGAAGCTTCTTCTGAGAGCAAATGTCCAGCCGGGCCAAAGAGAAACCTTTTACTGAGGGAAACCTCAGTGGACTTGACCAAGGACTTGCCGCGAAAGGGTCTTTCCCTTTAAGGGCACCCCCGGAGATCGGAGACGGAAGCCAAACACTCTGGGAAGCCGCCAGTTGTCTCGCCCGGCCAAAATGGGCGGCTCGTCCTTTTTCAGCTGGACATCCCTTTGAAGGGAGCGGTTCTCCGTGGGGCTTCCTTTAAAACCATCCGAAAAAAAGGGAACCCTCGAAAAAGAAAAAAGAAGTGGAATCCGCGACCGCCTTTTTTTTTGCCAGGCGGCGTACTTGCAGAGCAGCCCATGGGCGCCTGCCAAGACGCCTTGGCAAAAGAAGGGTTTTGGGGAGCTAACGGGGAGGGATGCTCTGGGGGGGGTTGTGTAAGGCTTCCGGAACCTGTTGCTTAGGAATTCCAGGTTGATTCGTTGTCCACTCTCACCCCTTGTGTGAAACCGAAGACGTGTTCCGTGGGGCAATGGTCTGAGAGGGGATCCCTGAAGAGAATGAGGAGTATGTGGCTAGAAGAGGATTGTTTTTTGGGGTTGTTAGATGTTTGTTGAAGGGAATCCCGGTAATAATCAGGAAATGGGAACCCGTGAATTGTTCGGGTGTTCTTAAGGAAACCAAAAGTACAACTCCCTTCAACCGTCTGCATGGACCCAGATAGGCAGGAGTTGGACATGCTTAGGAATTGACTCTTCCCTCATTCCCCATCAAACGCCTGACGCCCGCAATTCCCCCCCAAAAAATAATAATAATAACGCAAGGGATTCTTGGCTGATACCCAAACCGCATCTAGGCAAACGGACTACCAAATTTTGGACTGCTGTCAAACTCTCAGGTGAATCCAAGAAGAGAGCTTGCTCTGGAACCTGGACACTCCCTGAAAGGCAAACATCTTGACTCAACGCAAAGACGTCTCCACGTTCCACGTCTCTGTTCCACGTTCCAGTTGAACACAGTTGAGCCAGGCTCCTGCCGATCCGATACCATCCACAAGAACCCCCAAGAGCGTTTCTCAGGAAACGCAACCCAAAAGCTTGCATCCGCGGCCGAATTTGCCCGGCAGATTTATTTCAACGGGCTATTGGTTGAACCAATGTCACTATGTAAGTTTCACAAAGACCTGGCGGAGCACATGCCGATTCTCACTTTCTCGATCTCTAAGTCTAGGGCGATGTGCGGAGACGTCCTTGAGGTGGACTAGTCCAAGACCGGTTAAAAGCTCCAAATGGCCGGGGACCAAGTCTTGAGGCAGCTTATGGAGCATTACAACAGCTGCTATTTCTCATCTGCGGTCAATTTTAACCACGTCATTATTCTAGGGGCACCCCCATTCTTTCCATGGATCCTTCTTTCTAGAAAACCTCCAGAAACCCGGAGAAAACGGCCGATTCTCGAAAAGAACGATGGTTGAAAAGGAAACCACCCCTGGAATTATTTTTGTGTTCAGTATTCACTTTCTAGAAGAAACAAAAAGAGTTGCCGATGGATCGGTTACCAATCCATAGCAAACACCTCGATGCTTCGCTTCGAACAGCCCCCAGATCCGCGACTGCTCCTCTTTCGGGATCCGCACTCGGATGCTTTTGGAAAGATGAGAACCAGAAGGCTACGGCATTGAAACCCCCCTTCGTCTCCATCTTGGACATGTTTTTCTCCGGAATCTTTGGAGCAACTCTGAACACTGGCCCTAGCAGTGAAGTGTTGGTGTCCCGACATGTTGGTTTTGACGTTGTTCATCCACCAAATGTGTCGGTCTCTGTGTGCCTGCGCCTGCCACATCTTCGATCTGTTTCAAAGGTTTGGATTGGAGAATGACCAGGTCTCACTGTTGGGAGCGCCAAAGTTGGGAATGGGGCGTTGGATGAAGCATCTCATCCATTTGGCGCCAAGAATGTGTTGCAAGGTCTGTTTGGAACATGAACCCTTGCGAACAAATTCTGGGCTGTCCTCAGATCCCCCGCTCAAAGTTTAACGTTTGGTTGGTTAAATGGACATCCAACCACTAAACGCTAAAAGGATCTCAAAGGCTGAACCGGATGGCTGGCTTTGCCACCAAGAATTGGAGGTTCCACTTGAGTTGCCTGATCCACTTTAACAAGGCGAGGCCATTCTCATGTGCACTGGTTGGGCAACTGCGAAAGATCGCCAAATGAGCCAAAGACCCCTGCTTCAGATTCTGACACAATCACTCTGACAAATCCCAAGTGCCACGAAGTTCTCAAGGTATTCTCAAGGTAGAGGGAGAACTTCGGCCGTGGCGGCAACGCGGGCAAAAGCAAAGCTTGAAGATGTTGCAGCCACTAGTATTTAGACAACCTCAGTTCGTCTTCGCTTTGACCTCAATTTTGCAACCTGCCCTACTTCCATGCCCATCAAAGCCAGGGCTCGATCTGAAGGTTCCGCTTCTTCCAAGATGCAGCGCTCCATCAACATCCTAGCGCCAAGTCGCACTGCAGACTCACCCCAAGTGGGGGAGAGCATAACTGGTGGAATCAAAGCTGGATCTTCTGAATGCCACTCTGATAGTTTCTTCAACTCGAAAACAACTCAAAACACTGCAAGTAAAGCACTGTTAGAAAAGGGCTCAAACTTAAGCAGCTTCCTTTCATGGCCAAATCGCTCGTTTCCCCTGAATCGGTGAGCTCGTTATAGTTGAAATAAGTAAACAATCTTTTTTGTTTAGTCACCCCCCCCAAAAAAAATCAAGGAGAGCACCCGCAGAAAGGAGAAAGGCTCTGCCGGCCTGGTGATGGCATTGCACCTCTGCGCATCCGCGCTGTTCTTGATCTCCAGCATGTCGCTCAACTTGCCTTTCGCCTCATCTCGGCGCCGCAGAAATGGGGCGTATTCCGGAAGATGCTGCTGAACATGTTTCCCACCGAGGTCAATGGCCAAAAAAATGAAGAATAAAAAAAGAACAAAAACAAGAAAAAGAGAAAAGAAAAGAAAAAAAGAAGAATAAACAAAAGGTGGCATCCCAACAGCCCTGGAACCCGCTGTAAAAATAATCCTTTCGAACCCTCCCTGACAGCTGCCCCAAACCCCAGAGCTTTGGGCCGATCGACCCCATCAGCCGTTGAAAAACAACAAAGCTCGATGCTGTGAACTTCCATTTGCTTATGACCCTGGAAAAAATGAGCAAATGTTTCACGTAGTGATAGATTCCCTTTAAAACCAACAGGGGAAAATAAAAACATATGGCCCCACTCACCAAATCGACCCTGAGCGTCCACACCCCCGCCCCCACCCACCCACCCACCCACCCTCAACGGCCCCAGCCCCAAAGCCCCCAGTCGCCCATGTCCCGCGGATTTCTTTGTTTTGCACTATCATTATTCTGATTGTTGTTTTTGTTGATATTATTGTTGTTGTTGTTGTTCTTGTTGTTATTGTTATTGTTATTGTTATGTAAAAAAAAGAGAAGAGGTTCTTGCCGAGCCGCGTCGAGCTTGGTTCTGGTGTCCTCCGCCGCCAAGGTTCTCACGTCGGATGGCGCATAAGACGTCGGGGCACGACGTCGCGTGGATGGCGGGCAACCGAGCGGGGAATGAGACATGACCCGGAGAAAACGATCCTTTAAGGGAAACCTAGGTTTCCTTTGAGGGAAAACAATCCCAGGGGAAAACAATTTTCAATCGGTTTCCTTTAAGGGAAACCCTACGGTCACTCCCAACACACGGACTCGTTGTTAATGTGAACCCCATTTGAATCCACCGCAGTTTATTGACAGGGGGGTGGTGGTTGGCCCCTCCGAAAGTGGGTTACTTTGGGTTTCCTGCTAACGGAGGATCCCCTGGACACGTCTCCCCTTACCAGGGAGATGGGGGGAGGTTATGCTGTGAGGGCCACTGAGGGAGGCATGGATGATTCGGCCAATCGATGGTGAATGAATAATCAACCCCGGTTTATGAATAGGGGGGTGGGTTTTTTGCCCCTCCAAAAGTGGGCCCCCACATTTCACCCAGAATCGGACAACTCCCTAGTAACAAACTGGGGTTGATTCATATGGGGTCAACATTATTTGGCTTGGGGGAAGTGAGTAAAGGGAATCAAAAGGGAAACCAATGAACCTCAAAGCAAATGCAAAGCCAAGTAGCAACAAATTTCTCACTTCTGAACGAGTTGACGGGCAGAAAAAAGGAACCACACTTCTTATTTACCACTAAAATGGTCCAGACCCAACTGGTTTCAAGTCCATGAACTCAGGAAGTGATTAATACTGGGCGGTCCGTGATCAGATCTGCTAAAAGTTGTTTCAGTTTTTGGTGGGTCAAATGGAAACCCAACCACTCAACCAACTAAAAGCCTGAAAACGTAAGGAACCGGACGGCTGGGAACCGAAAGGAATATCTTGGCTTCATAAGCCCTTTGCTAGGAGTTGGTCAACATACCAACATGCACCAGAGTTGCTACACACGTGGCCGGAGGTCCATGTTGACCCATCGTATTTTCCCAAACCCTGCGTCAGCGCAAATCATTTGACTTTCTTGCATCCCTCGGATGTGAAAAGGGAAACCGAGCGAATTCGATCAATGTCCCTGACAACATGCCTGCAACCTCAGGGCAGAATCCGCCAACCCTCCCAGGATTGGCCGCTGTTGAGGGACGCTCTAGCATGCAAGGGGGCTACAGGACAACACCAACGGTTTTCAATCAAAAAGGATCCACCTGTTGCTGCATGTCTGCATTTGGAAAGGAAATATAAAGATGTCGACCCCTGGACGTACCGCAACGAAAAACGCAAAGGTCTCGCTGACACCACGCCCCATTCTGCCAAGCATCATTGCGCCATTCTGCATCTGCATGCGCACGGTCCCACGGAACAAAACCGCGGCATGAGATATGGCAGCTGCCAGGAGGTTTTTCTCGAACATTCTGTCCTTCCACAGCATGCGCTGGAACAGCAAACAAAGTGTTCATGCACTTGAACCTCTGTCTGTTGGGCCCACTGCCCTTTGAACAAACGGGGTTGGTTGGTTTGGGGTTGGTTTGAGGGTCGTGTAGGGTTTGTTTAGGGCTAGGGCTTGGTTGGGGCTGGTTTTGGGGGGGGGGGGCTTATTGTTTGAGTTGGGCTTAGGGTTAGGGATGAGTGTTTCCATAGGGTTTGCCTTGCGCATCCCTAGCATTCCTGCATCACCGACTGCGATCAAGTGAGCGGGCTTTTTCGAAAACATCGCAAAATATCGTGTTGCTTGGTCACTTTTCACGCGTTTTTGCGGGGCTTAGAGTGGATGCCGCGGACGCAGTCTTGGTCTGATTGGCTTTGCGTGTACGTCACGTCGTGCCGCACGAGCACGCACGGGAATGGGTGGGTGGGAATGGGTGGGTGGGAAAGGGTGGTTGGGGTTGGGAATGGGTGAGAAGGGTGGGTGGCCAGCGATGAACGGTGTGGGAGGGTGGGTGGGGTGGGTGGGGTGGGTGGGGTGGGTGGGGTAGGAAGCAACCCCTGCAGCCACCCAGCGCAGCTGGTGATGGTGAAGCCGGTCCTGGAACGGCCATTATTTCACGCATTTTAGCAGAGAGCTTTGCCACTTTTCAGGCGCAAAAAACCACCTTCCTGGAAGGTTCGATTTTGTACGGTGTGGGGGGGGGGAGCTTGGTTCAGGGACGGCTTGCTGGTGATGCGTTGGTGTCCCAAGCCACTCCAGGCCACCAAACCAAAGCCACAAAAGCCCAGCAACAAGCTGCAAACCCCGGAAAAAGAAAAAAACACGCAACCGCTCTTTTCAACCAGCGTTCTTTTCAAAAACCGGCCGTTTCCCTGGGTTTTTGGAGGTCTTCTAGAAAGAAGGATCCCTGACCTGTGTCCGGACAGTCCTTCTCTGCGTACTGGTCAGAGCTACGGAACTCGTGCAAGCGGATCAGCAGTTTGTCGCCTTGCTCGATCGCCGAGGCCGCGATCCTCCTGCAAACGGCTGCAAAACGTTTGCCTCCAGGACATGGTTGTGGGACAAAATTAAGCAACCAGGACCGCAGATTTTAGTTCATATTTCCGTTTGAATTTTGGGTACCCATTTTTGACCCGCAGCCACATGCCGTAGATGTACTATGCAATGCGCGCACGTAGCTTATTTAGGCTTCACTTCTCACAGGGGGTTTCTGGCAACTAGTCGTTTCCGCCCATTTGAAACCAAGCCTGGGGCGAAGTGTGCCTGGTTGGAAGGCTGACAAGACAGTCCTTTTTAACGTCGGCGTAAAAATCACCGCCAGCTCTATGCAAGTGGTGCTGCGTGCAAGTTGCTCCGTGCAAGTGGCGCTGCGCAAGCTGCTCGAAGCAAGTCCCTCTGCGCAAGTTTCCTATCTGCCAGTTGCACGCGGATTGCTCCACGCGCCAGGCGCTCCCTTTGTACTCAAAACGTGGAGCTGGAGAAAACGGGGGCGGACTTCGCCGATGACTCTATTCGCTGAAAAGCTGCCATGTTCGAGCTGGAGCTTGCAAAGGGGGCGCGAACCCGGGACCCACCGATTTCGAGAAAACGCGCAAACCACAGGAGGGGTCGCACAGCAATGTTGAAAAGTTCAAGAAGCCTTCAGCTTTTGGGCAAGAAACCCTAGAAATTGTCCTGCTTGACTGAAGGGTGACGTGCTGCTTGACCATAAGTGCCAGCAAGAAGGCCGGAATAAGCACGCCGTAGGCGACTGCGCATAGCCCGCCCACTACGTCCACCTCGGCATGAGGAAATTTGAAGTGGCCTGGAAACACTCATGTCTAGGCAGAACAAAGAGCGCGGCCAACTTGCCTTGGGAACCCCGCAAATCAGTTGATAGCAACAGAGAGCGCTATGCTTTGGATATTCGGGTGGCGCACAGAAGCAATCCAATACGATTCATGTGTCAGACTGTGCCAACAGCAGCCTGACCCTGGTTTTGGCAGTGGTGGCGGTGACGGGTGGTGGTGGTGGTGACGGGTGGTGGTGGTGGTGGTGGTGGTGGTGGTGGTGGTGGTGGTGGTGGTGGTGGTGGTGGTGGTGGTGGTGGTGGTGGTGGTGGTGGTGGTGGTGGTGGTGGTGGTGGTGGTGGTGGTGGTGGTGGTGGTGGTGGTGGTGGTGGTGGTGGTGGTGGTGGTGGTGGTGGTGGTGGTGGTGGTGGTGGCGGTGGCGGCGGCGGCAGTGGCGGTGGCGGTGGAGGCAGCGATGGTGGGGATGGTGTTGGTGGCCCCGCAATGTATGGCTATCAGCGCCACATCGCAAGGCATGATCAGCATCATCGAAAGGAAGGCCTGCGGCATCATCAGACCAGACCAGCATCAGCAACATCATCAGCGCACTTGAAGTGTTTGCTGCTGAAAGTCTAGCCCAAGCTGTGTGGGAGAAAAGCAGTCTGACATTTGTCCCACAAGGATATGGGGGGGGGGGCAAAGAAGGAAAGAAATATATGTATTGAACTAAAACGACTGCAAAGCAGCCCCTTGGCTGTTGCCTTCTTCCTCACTCCCCAACCCCCCAAAACCCCCCCTTGCAACCTCTCCAGCCTCAACAAGAAAGACGACCTTTTGCTGCCAGCGGCGCATCCCGTGGTCCGAATCCGACCGCCCAAACGACCCAAAAGACCCGCCCAAACGCCGAGGCGCCCAGCTGGGCTCCGAACAAAGCAGGAAGGGCATGGCCACGCGAAAGGCCGCCTGCGCGCCCAGAGGCTCCCCTCCTGTCGAGATGGGGGCGCTGGCCTTGGACCGCACTCTGAAGGCTGGCCTTTGACCACTCCACCCACCCAAAATGACCCACTCTAAGGTCCTCCAGTAGATGTTAGAAGAAGGGACCAACTTTTTTCTGTAGTCTATTTTAGTAGGTGAGCCCTCCCTCAAAAAAGAAATGGTCCAAGGGCACTGGGGAGACTCTGACCCTCACTCTGGCCCAAAATGACCCCGCTCGCCCAACACCAAAAGTTGAGCAACCGGGATTGAGAGCTCGTTGGCCTCGGATCCGGTGGCTTGCCGCTGCAGAGCCCGCGGTTTGGCGGTTTTTGGGGCAGGGCATCCGGAGCCCTTGAAAAACCACAAGTCTACCCGAGTGTCCCAAAATGGGACAAGGCAATCCAAATTAAGCAGGGGCAAACCGCAGGTTTTGGTACCCATGTTTCCACTTACCAGGGCAACCCAGCTTGGAATTCCGCTTTTTGGAGCCACAGCCAAATGGGACAAGGCTCGGATACCAAAAGTGAGGCCAGCGTCCTGGAAAAACTCGACCAACAAGCACTCTGGCAGCCTCCAAAAAAACAACAACCACCACACTGCCCTTTTGCAGATGAAGACAGACCTCAACAGCCCCCTCCCTCAGAGCCGTCCCTTCGTTCCAGCCATTCACCACCGGTCGATTCGACACCCCATCCATTCGACGTCGATCGATCTGTTTCGGTGCATAGGTGGCCTTTTGGAAAATAGATGGCCCTGGTAAATGGAACACAACCCATCTAATGGAACCCATCTATTCTTAACCAAACTAACCGATTTGGCCATGGGTCAAAATCCCTTGCCCCCAGTGAACATCCCAATCCCCACTAAAATAGACTACATAAAATGGCTGGTGAATTCACCTACCAACCAAAATGCGATCCCAAAACGTGTCAAAACCCACAGCCAAATGCTCAAAACGTGGCTTTTTTTTTAATTTCGTGGGCATGACGTTCCATGGACGCCGTTGCACATCATTTCCTCAGAGATCCACCCAGCCTGGATCTTCGTTCCTACCAAAAAGGCCATCGAAGATCCATCGACCGAAGAGCTCCTCCGTCCAGGTCCTGGCAGCTGAGCAGCTTCCCGCAGCCCGCGGCGCCCCCCACGAAGAAGAGCGTCAGCACCTTCAGCGCCAGGCCGATGCCTCCGACGCGCTTCGGCGATCCGGCGATTCGGCGAGCGAGAGGCGGGTGGGATGAGCCGCACCCACCGAAACCTCCTCCCCACCCCGGTCTCTTTTTTTAGCGATCTTTTGCCCAAGGGGAAATCCCCGTGTACTCAATTGGTAACTTGGTTTTCTCGATTCAAGCACCCCTCTCCCCCACCCCAACCCCTGCAATGAAAAAAGGCAAACCGTTCCTCGTGCCGAGGTCGCGAGATTCCTTTCCCGCCTTTTGGGTGCAACCGCTCGGGCGCAAGAGGAATCCATGGAAAGTTGTGTTGGGGCGCTTGAACCAAAGTAACATGGGAAATCGTTCTTCAAGACAAAATACGTCCTCCTGCAGTTCGTGCGAGGTCCCTTTCTGCCGGGCCGGACGGGAAAATAGGCTCTGTGGGGCTCCTGCTAACATGTCGAAAGGACGAAACTGCAAAGGATTCCAAAGGTCACGCCTGGCACGCTCACGCGTCACCTTTGGGTAACCTCACTTGCTGAGTGGATGGCCCCAAAAAAGTTCAAACTTTATATTTACCGCCAAAATGGTCTTCCCAAAAAGCTTCAAGTTCATGAACTCAGGAAGTGAGTGACCTAAATGTCAGCTTCCCTCCAAATTGGAGGATTTTTCTCCCGTGAGTTGGAGAGTGGAACCTGGGGGGGGAGGTTGGCGTGTTTGGGGGGGAGGTTTTGCTGGCCTCATTACTTCTACCACGATCAAAGTCACCCCCTAAGTGCTGGGTGAAAGGGGAAACAACCAACCATTTACTGACTTGGATAACCCCCAGAAACCGTCCTCAGATCCCCGGTAAAAGTTTAACTTTTAGTGGGTTAAATTCGGAAACTACCACTGAACACTAGGATCTAAAAAGCCAAGGAACCGGATGCCTGGCTTAGCCCCCAAGAAAATAATGACCCCAGTTTGGGGGAGACTCCGACTCCGCGCTGCCGCTTCGCGCCGGGGCGCCGGAGCTGCGGGCCACGACCTCGACGGCCCCGCAGAGCGCCAGCAGCGCCAGCGGCGCCAAAGGCGCCGCCACCGCGGCGGCGCTCCGCGCGCTCGCGCCGTAGGAGCACTCCAAACTCAAAGCGTCCTGCGGGCTTTCGGCCGGAAGCACGGCTGAAAGGGACGCAGGGCGCGTTGCGCGAGCCCCCGAAACCAACCCCAAAGGCCCCAAACCAACAAACCACACCTAAAGTCGGCCGGAAGGACGCAGGGTGGGGAGTCGCAACCCCCCGAAACCAACCAAACCTAAAGCGACCCCAAAAGGACAGCGGCTGAAGGGACGCAGGGTGCGGGGAGTCGCGAGAAAAGGGGGTTCAGTGCCTTTTTGGGTGGGGCGCAAAACGCTTTTACGGGGGGGGGGGCCTAGTCACGAGCCCGGCTCAAGTGCCTTTTTGAGGGCACTCGGCAAAACGCTTTATTCACGGAAAAAGTGTGGGAGCCAAATAAACCAACCCTAAACCAACCCCCTAACCAAACCTAAAGCGAGCCCAAAACGACACTAGAACGACCTTTTGAGGGCGCGGCAAAACGCTTCTCACGAAAAGTGGGCGGGGGGAGGGGGGGGGGGGTTATGGACCAAAAGCCGATAAGAACCTCCCCCAAGTGTAGATGTATTGCTTGCTTGGAAGGGTGGATGGGCGTGGGGCGTGGTACCTGTTTTGGAGACCAGGTGGATTTGTTGGTCTTGGTTTTAAAGGGAAACCATAGGGACTCTGCAAAACGTGATTCACAACAAGCGTGGGTATGGAAAAACCGACCTGTTTCAACCAACAAGTTAAAGTCCAAGGATAGCATCCTTGTGGTAAATGGGTGTTTATGGGAGGGTATGGACCAAAAATAGATAAGACTCGCCCCCCAAGTGTAGATATATTGCTTTCTTGGTTGCTGACCCCTCTGCGACGAGTCTAACTTTTTGTGGGCCCAAGGGAAAACCCGCTGTTTCAACCAAAAAGCTAAGGTCCAAAGATCCGTTCCAAAATAGCCATAAAGAATAGATGGCTAGCGTGCTTGTGGTAGATGGGTGTTGGAATCCGATTTGGGTGGCGGGGGGGGGGGTAGTAGGTACAAGGGTGGTAGTTGCGAGCCCTAGGATTCCGTGGGGCTTCTCTAGTGTTTTTTTAGGATTCCTTCGGGAGCCCTTATAGTATGTAACCCTCTATGATCCTTTGGTCTTTAAGTGTGGATCTCAGGTAAATGGGCGCTGAAAAACCGAAGCTCATGCTGGGTTCTTGGGAGCCCATGCTTGGGATCCTTTTGTTGAGGCTCGGTGCCCCATTAAAAGAAAAAGACGCTCGTTCGCACCTGGGGCTGTCTGTTTTCAGGGAACCCGGTTTGGGTGGTACTGGGAAATCCGAAGGAAACCATCTTTAGCGCCCTCTATTTTAAGACGCTCCCACATAACATGTTGCTATACAAGTATTTCCTTGTTCGTACGCAATATTGTCCGCTCATTCGTTGCCGTTCGGAAGGCAAGATGGGCCAAAGGAAACCAAAGAAACCCAACATGTCCCGGGTTTTGATCCCGGTGCATTCCTTCCCATCCGATTTCTGCCATGTGAACAACATGGCTTTGTAGCTCGAAACGGACCGTTCTGTTGCCTTGGGCATCCGAATTTGGGAAAACCGATTGTCACCTGTGTCGCGGAATCCACCCAATGAAGAGGTAGCCCTTTCCGACAACCCAAATGGAGCCTCACCAAAAAAGATGGGTATGAAAGTGAAGATGATGCAATTCAAGCGGGCGGGTTCATCCAAGGTGAGCTACTGGTTTCTCCACATTCATTTTATGAAAGAAGTCCTTGCCAAAGATTCTAGAGAGTTCTCCACATCCTCTTAAACTCTTCCACAATATTCCCCGCCACAAAGATGATGAAAAGATGAGGGCACCCTTTTGGGCGTTTGTTAAAGGCTCACCCAACGCTTCGTGGGAACCCCAGGTTAAACGTCCCTTTGGTTGATCAACAGCGTGGTGCAACCCATTTTGGAAAATTAATGCGCCAAATGACGTGTTCACACCCAAACGCTTTCAGCTGGGGTCCCGATCCGCAATCTGCGGGACATGAATACAGGGAAACCATGATATGGCACAATGATCTTGGTGACCTCGCCTTTTTTCTGCAGGTCCATTGGTCAGAAAGACGGTACCTCTCTCTCTCTCTCTCTCTGACCTACAGCAGGTCATCTAAACACAAGAGGCCCTTGCATCGGCTCTGTAGAGACCGATGTTAAACATGCGCTTTCCAACATGTCCTCGCAGCTGGTTGTCATTCCGGAATTTCCGTCAAGCTTTCCTCTTGGGTGCCCAACCTAGAAAAGGTACAAGACAAGACGAGTTTCAAGCCCCCAAAGGGGTCTGCTGTTTTGAGTTGGCACCCCTAGTCCTACAAGAAGACACACCGTGATGGATGAAATCCCGCACCAACTTCAAGCCATGGGTGTCCCGCCATTTTTTGGCATTTGTTGTAGGTGGAAAATCGAAGCCTTCCAGGGTTCCTAGGATTTCGTCCACCCAAAGGGTCCCAAGAGATGTTCCTAAAACCGTTTTCCTGGGGATTTGGTCCATGCTCGGGACCTCCTGGCACTGTGTCGGCCCCGTTTCGGGCCCCGTGTCGTGTCTCCGTCCTGCAGCCCCTGGGCCGAGAGCTGCAGCCACTGGACGTAGGGCTGCTCGAAGAAGTCCACCGCGAAGCTGCGCTCCGTCGCCTGCGGCGACACGGCGGTGGCGGTGGCGGTGGCTGCGACGGTGGCGGTGGTGGTGGTGGAAAATGGGTCAGAAACGACCGAATTGGGTCAGAAAAGAATCGGAGAAAAATACAGAAAATAGGTGGTGGTTGTGTTTTTGTCCACAAAAGTCACAAAATGTGCTTGTCCATTAAAATCACAACAAATTTATGGTGGTGGTGGTGTTGGAAAATGGAGGTCGTTCTTCTGTGAGACCGAATTGGGTCAGAAAAGATGCGGGGAAAAAAAAAGAAACAAAAAAAAGTGACTTGTTTTTGTGATGAAAGTGGTAAGGAAAATGGGCGTGGTTCCGGAGAATGGGCAGATGTCTGGAGCACAAGTCTGGGCTCCACAACAATCTAAGCTTTTCTGTTGCCTGCAATATTAAGGCAAACGTGCTCTGCACAAATGTTGGAAATTGGTGTGTTGCACTGTGGTCTCTATATGTCCCCTTTAAACATCAGCCTACCGAACAGAATCTCTATTAAAATGTGGATAATGGGGAGGTGGAACATTGTGAAAGCTGGTTGTGGAATAGTGTGGGCGATGTCGTGGCAAATTGCAGTAAATTTAATTAGTTGTGACACAAGAAACAGGTTCCACATTCATAGAGCTAATCATGGGAAATGGCTACCGCAAATTTCCCGAGTTGAATCCCATCCAAGCATGGCTACTTCTCTTTCGGGGACTCCCAAAATGACGCAACTGTTTTCCTTTTGGCTTCCCTTTTTAGCCACAACAAGCACAGCGACCAACTCAAAAGAACACGAGCCACCCACGTTGCCGGGCATGCCCTTGGCGTAAGTGGCAACCTAACCCCCTTCTTCAGGTTCCACGCCGAGTCTTGCATGGTCTGGGCGAAAGGTTTATCCACAAATCCAAGCAGTCTTCTGACCAAGTCGTTCAGTCTATGTTTCCCATGAATCAAAGACTAGTCGGCCAAGTTCGCCCTCTCATGTTGGCCCTAGTTCTTTGCTCATGGCCCCCGTCAGCTTTTGGGCCCCAAAAGGGGCCGTGTCGAACCGGACCAAAAACGAGCCAAGACATGTCCGCCGCAACGAAGCCCCGTTTCACGCGATGTGCAATCGACGGGCCGTCCCGTCCTCCTCCTCCTTGGTCTCCAGGCTAGGCGTGGCTGCCAGCGAGGCGACCACCACCCACCTCACTCGGGGTTGGTTCCAGGATTCCAGGGGTTGGTGGGGGAGGGGTTGGTGGGGGAGGGGCTTGGTGGGGGGGGAGGTTGATTCCTTTTCCATTCTTTTCAACCATCCTTCTTTTCAAAAGCCGGATCTGTCTCCAACCTGGGTTTTTGATGGATGGAAATAATGGGGAAGGTACCCCTAGAACTCTTCCCAACTTGGAGACCGGAGCCCACAAAAAGAGGGAGCTCCAGGCTGATTGTTCCCCCCGTCCCCCCCTCCCCCCTGCACTCCCTGTTCCCCCGGTTTCTTTTAACGAGTTCGGGAAGGAAGCCATTTTCAACCACAGGTTCTTTCAGTCCCGCTCAAAAAAAAACAACCTCTTCCAGGTGATTATTGCCCGAACCACGTACCCCTGATTCAACCGGCTGTGGCTCAAAATTTTCAAGACCAGGGGCAAACCGCAGGTCTTTTGGTCTTTGGTCCCATTTACCAAGGCAACCCATTTTGGGGTTACCAACGATTTTTGCCCCGCCATTTCACCGCCGCCAATTTTGGTGCCACTTTTTCAGGCCACCGCCGGACCCACCGAGCCGCAGCTGGCCCAGCTGCAGCAGCAAGGGCGCCTGCACCGCCAGCAGCGCCAGCGCTGCGTCCCGGGCCGAGGGGCTGGGCGGCTCGGTGGCCGGCCCGGAAGCTTGGCGCCTGAAGCCAAAAGGTCCGAAAGGAAGAAGGAAAAAAAGGGGGGGAAAAAAGCTCATGGCTTTGAAGTGAGGGGAAAATATTGGCTTGGCAAAAAGGTCAACCGACCAAAAGCATGAACCAGAATTGGCTGGGCAATGAGTCAGCAGCGTCCTTTTTAGTTCACCTCCAGGGTCACCGATGGGAATACGTCCGGGTGGTTTTCTTTCAGGCAAGGAGAAAGCCCTCTCATCACGAGGGATGAGGCGGCCCTCCCCCGCACCGTGTAGCTGACGCGTTGACCAATTGTGGCCCAAGACGAAGCTGAGGAAACTTTAGTCCGACACACTACTCGCAAGCAACTGCCAAGGGGCTGCTGTTTGACTCCAAGTTCCCCAAGGGCCCACATACATCCCTGGATAACAAAAACAGAGTGGGTCTTGAACATTTTGGACAGCCTTGCAATGGTCACGTTTGAAACAAACTAAAACTCTGGGTTGCTGCGGGGGGACTTGTTCCTGTGAGTGGGGCATCGATCTTCGATCTGCTACTAGAATCGAGTTGGCTGATCCTCTAACACTGTTCCTTTCTTTTGCTGGGGCCACCGGTTCTCAAAGGGAAAGCAAACTTGGCTGAGATCCCCTGCCAAAAGCCAAACTCTTCGTGGGTGAAATAGAAACCCCACTCTCAGGGGATTGCTGGGAACCACGTAAAGAGAACCAGACTTACACCTCGGCGGGGTAAGCCAATATTGCATCGTGCTACGCCCGAGATCCGTTCCAAGCAACCCCGATGGACCTACAAGCCTCCTTGCAGGAACAGGGGCCCAGTTGAGTCACACTCAAAACCCGGGTGCGAAAATGGTCGACCCCGAACAATGCTTCAAGAACGAAGGCGGATATCCACGCGCCCATTTATGGCAAGGTCGGCCTTTGCTAACCTTCACTTGCCCCGGGTTTTGAGCAAGTGGCTCAGAAAACCTCTGGATGACCAGCTCCTTCACTCGCGCGGCCACCGGCTTCCCACTCACCGGGTGAAAGAAAACCCACAAAAATCCGTGCAGGCGCCAAGCACCTTGTTTTCTAGGGGTTGATTCCTTTTCCATTATTTTCAGCCATCGTTCTTGGCAAACACCAGCTGTTTCCCCAGGGTGTTGGGTGGTTTTCTGGAAAGAAGGATGCCTGGAAAGAATTAGATATGTGGGTGTGGGTCAAAAATGGGTACCCAAATGGCCCAAAATGGAACTTTACCCCCGGGTATTGGAGCCAAGGACTCAAATCTGCGGTGCATATCCTGGTCTAATTTTGACCCATAACCATTTGGGCTCAGTGGAATTTCCACACGTGCGGGAGTCCTACTGTGGATGGTCGCGAAATCCATTTCGCACCGTTCAGAAACCCTGGAATGATTCTACTGTCAATACCAACAAACAATGGCTCTCCATGGTTTCAGATTTCGCAGCCATCCACCGTATGAAAAGAAGAATCAACCCCTGTCTACTCATAGGGGTGTCCGATTCTGGGTTGAGTGGGGAATCAGACCACGATTGGAGGGGAACGCAGCAGCATAGGTGGCCTTTCGGAAAAATAGCTGGCCCTGGTAAATGGAACAAAACCCATCTGATCTTCAGTGGACCCCATCTAGTTTAACCAAACTCACCTTAAAAAAGGATGCCTCTGCACCGCCACGGGTCTCGCTGTCGTCTCGCTGTCGCGCCTGCGCCACGCCACCCCCGCGGCCGCCCCCAGCGCCAGCAGCCCCGCCGCCGCCAGCGCCGCGGGGCGCAGCGCCGCGGTTTCGGCGGCGCAGGGCGCGCAGAGGCTCCCCGCAGAGCGGAAGTGCGGCGCGCAGACGACGCACAGCGGCCCGGCGTAGCCTGGCGGTTTTCGAGGGAAGACGACGCCTGGCGGTTTTCGGGGCCGGGAGGGGAAGACGACGCCCTTCGCCTTTTTCGGGGAAATCCAAAAAGGCAAGAGATATCCGAGGTTTTTGGGGATGTCAAATGACGCCTTTCTCAGGGGGCTCCAAAAAAGGAAGAGAGATACCCCAAAACCGGTGAGGCCCCTGCGGGGATGTAAAATGCACCCCTGGCGAAGGGGAAAAAAAACAAAGTTCGTTCTGGGCTCGGTGGGGGGCACTTGTTTGAGGATCATCCGCAAACCTGGTGAGAAGCCCAAAGATGTGGAAGCACTGAACCACTCTATGGGTATACCCCGTTGGTTGGGGGTGACCCCACGAAGGCGACAGCCATTGGCACTACGATTGGTGCGGCAAAATGCGACAGAAGCAAATGGAGCTGGTTTGTTCCCAATCGTCAAGAAGGCTTGCATCGGAATGGCTTATGAAAAAAGAAGAGCCAGTAACAAAATCATTGCCAGTTGCGAACGCGTCCAGCTCAATGCCGAAGGAGAAACTGCACGAGCCAACCGTCAACACCCAGGAATTTTGCTGTTGGCTCATTTGGCTGTCCCCAAGCTAGGATCCGTCCCTTTCTCATGTTCCCAAGAGCTCCCCCTGTTGAAACAAATCCAACTCAGGGCTCCATTGAGCTTGCTAAAAGTTCATGTGGGGTACTGCGCGCCCTGCTTGTGTGGAAAAGCTGGAAAGAAACAAAAAAACATCAACCACAAACTACCCGGACTATCCTTCTATATTCTTCAAGCCCCTGGCATGCTAGCAAAACCGAGTTGCTTGCAGCCCCAGACTCAGCCTAGCTACGGAAGTACAGAAAGAACCAAGAACCGAAAGGGAAGACAGCCAGCAATACTGGCCCCCAATATGTGTGTGTGTGTGTGTGTGTTCTTGCCCCCCCCCAAATGGCCGTTGTCCTCCTATTGTCCCTACTAATTCACCCCAAAAAGAAACACCCACGCGTTTGCTATCGTAGTCAGCTAAGTGATAGGCGGTCTCGGACTCTGAGAACCCGACACAGTCGAAACATACTGTCCGCGGCTCACTCACCCACAAAACGCACATCCGGCAAAACACGAAATCAACGCCCCTCAAGCAAACAAGGAACAACATCCTGCTATGGAGAAAGAAAAAAAAAAAAAAAACGCTTGCGCAATTTCCGGCTCGTGGTCCCCTCCAAGCTGCCTGGCGTACACTGGCCCAGGCTGCACCGTGATTCCGCGGGCTCGATGCACCTGAAAAGCCGGCCGAGCTTTTGGTTTCGACGAATGTGGAGCACTCATTTTTCGGAGACCCTTGCAGCGCCTTTTGGTTGAAAACAAAATACAGCAGACACTTGCGGAACAAAATTGGACAGAAAATGCAGCAGGAGAAACAAATCCGGAAAAAAATATCATTCTCCTTCCGCGAACGATGAGCGCCACCTCTCCGGTTCCCGGGCACGTCCCTTGACTTACCCAAAGGACCCCCGCTGCGAGTTTTTTGGGGGTGGGCTGGGGCCTGGAACAGGTGGACCAATCTCATCACCTCAGCCCCTCCTAGAGTTGGGCATGTCCAAAAAGTGGGGGGGGGGGGGAATCCATGAAAAAATTGGCAGTGTCCTTGGTTTGCCTCCCAAAAGGGGGCCGGGGGGGGGGGGTGAGGGGGGGGTTGCTAAAGCACTCAGTCATTGAAGGGGTCCCTCTGCAGTGGCCGGATTCCTTTCTTCCAGAGTCTGCCCCTGGCAGATACGTGATGAACAACTTGTCTGGATGACACGCAGGCCACACAAAAAAGACTCTGAATGCCCAAACGGCCTAATCCATAAAGAGCAAGGTCAAAACTTCGTTTAATGATTGGGTCATGGTGTGGCTATGGCTCCGTACAATGGTTGGCATGGTTCTCTGCCATCAATGCTTGCGACTGAGCTTCTTTTCTGATCCCTAGCATTCCCAAGTAAGCGATTGGTCGTTTGACCACATAGGAAGTACTATGAAGTCGCAGCCCACACAAGCGGTATCCCTACAGTTGACTTCGACAACACTCTGGGCTTCTCCACATATCAGTGTGGCTTGACAAACGCAATACATGGACGAAGCTCAATTTTCGGAGCTGGTACCCCTTTAATTTGTGTTAAAGGAACGAAAGGGACCCCCCCCCTTTTGGGGTCCAAATCCCATTTCGAGGCAAACTTTGGCACGCCAGCAAATATAACGCATGGTTTCGGAACCAAGGCACGGGCAACGACACGGTATGAATGAGGTACGAATGATAGATCCGCAACATAATTTGGCCTTTCCAAACAGAAGCCATACTTTGGTTGTTTGGTAATCGCCTTGGCAAATTTCTGCAAATGTTGGTTCCCTCAAGTCACCCCACCCACCGTTTCCTGCCCCCCTCTCAAACCCGCAACTCTTCCAAGCCCCGCAGAAACCGCGAAGCGCTCGTTCATAGGTGGCAATTTGGACAAATAGATGGGTTTCCTTGGTAAATGGGGCATAAACCCCATCAAAACCAGGGGAACCCCTCTATTCTTAAGTAAACTAAGCAATCAAAAGGACGCCTATGCACAGCCACGGGTCTCGCCGTCTACTTTTTAAGCTAATGAACCAAACCAAACACCTATGCGCTCCGCCCCGCTCGCCGCGAAGCCGCGCCTGGCGGTGTGCACCAGGGAGTCCTCGTCCTCGATGCGCGCCCAGCCGCGCAGCGGGGGCGCACTGGTCGCCAGGGACCCCGGCACAGAGCAGTTCAAGTGCAGCTGGGTGCAGGTCACGCAGGCGCCTTCGTACAGCGCCTGGCGAGAAAAATGCGAAGCGCGCGAGCCTCGTCTGGAGCCAATGGCCCCTTGAAATGTGTGAGGGAAGAAAACGAAACCAGAAGCAAAACCGTGGAGCCATTTGAGTCATAATCAAAAACCCGGTATGAAAATGGTCTATTCTGAGAAGCATGTATTGTATTAAGAAGGCGGATATCCGCAGCTATTTATGGTCCGGATTGTGCCTTACCCGGGTTTTGATTGTGGCTCGAGGACCTCATCTAGCCACCCTGAATAAATGCGTTTCGGAGCAAAACCGTGGAGCCGGTTTGGGGGACTGGAAACATCTGTGTTGCTTTTGCTTTACTGTTGATTTCCCTAACCACATGTCCTCTTTTTTTGGGAAGGGCGGGGGGGGGGGGGGGGGGAATAGGCCATGTTGCCCGTGGCGAAACTATGGATCTGTCTCAGAATAGTGGTTCGAAGGGCAAAAACAGCGTGTTGGTTCATAATGCCCTTTCAACCCAACAAAAAAGGGTTGCAGAACATAACGCTGCCTCAAATGCCGAAGTGGGGCTGCCCCTAAAACTGTAGAAACCCTCGTTGCAAAGTTCCAGCTTCCCCAAAAGCAGGGACTTAAGTAGGGGTTTTAGGGTTTAAGGGTTTAGGGTTTGGTGGTTTAGGTGTTTTAAGGTTTGGGGATTTCAGGGTTTCGGCGTTTAGTGATTTTAGGGTTTAGGGATTTTAGGGTTCAGGGGTTTTAGGAATTGTGGGTTTTGGGTTTTATGGGCTTTAGATTTTAAGGGTGTTAGGGTTCAGGGGTTTTAGGATTAAAGGCTTAGGGGTTGTTGGGTTAAGGGGTTTTAGGGATAGGGGTATTAGTGTTTAGGGGTATTAGGGTTTTAGGGTTGCGGGGTTTCGGGGTTTTATGGTTAAGGGGTTTTTGGGTTTAGGGGTTTTAGGGTTTAGGGATTTTAGGGCTTAGGGGTTTGAGGGCTTGGGGATTTTAGGGTTTAGGGGTCTTAGGGTTAAGCATTTTTGGGTTTTGTCTTTTTTGTTTGTGGATTCTACTGCTTAGGGGTTTTAGGATTTAGGGGTTCAAGCATTTCGGGTTTTAGGGTTAAGGGATTTTAGAGTTTAGGGATTTTAGGGTTTAGGGTTTTTAGGGTTTTAGGGCTTTGTGTTTTAGGGTTTAATGGTTTCAGGGCTGGGGAATTTAGGGTTTAGGGGTTTTAGAGTTTAGGTTTTTTGGTTTGTGGATTCTACGGCTTAGTGGTTGTAGGGTTTACTGGTTGAAGGGTTGGGGATGTAGCGTTCAGGGGTTTTAGGGTTTAGGGTTTTAAGGTTTTAGGGTTTGGGGGTTTTAGGGTTTAGGGATCTAGTAGTTTAGGTGTTTTAAGGTTTAGGGATTTCAGGGTGTAGGCGTTTAGTGGTTTTAGGGTTTGGGGGTTTTAGGGTTTAGGGGTTTGCGGGTTTAGGGATTTTAAGGTTTAGGGGCTAAGGGTTTTACGGTTTTGTGGTTTTAGGGTCTAGGACTGTACCACTGAAAATAACCAGGGAGTCCCCCCTTTAAAGCAATGTTTAGAACCCTATGAAAAGGGCACCAGTGCACAGATCACGCTTGAATGTCAGACGGTCACTCACCCCTGTCCCTATGGGTGAGGTCAGGCGTGGTGCACAAGTGGGTGTATCTTGTTTGGGAGGGCTCCTTCTGTGTACTCTGAAAGCTCCGAAAGGAATCATGTGAGAGATCACGATCCCCACGAGGGAAGCGTAAGATCCCCCAAGCCCTTGGAGACGGTCACAAGCGACCGGTCACAAGCGCGATTTTGATGGTCACAAGTGACCACCCGACCCTTTGAACTGGTCGCCAAAAAGTGAGACGGGCAACCTTGAACGGGGGATACAGTCCCGTTCAAAAAGTCTGTTGGAAAAATGTTATGGATGTGGCGCTCCAGAATCCATGTGAACCAAACGAAAGACTGGCCGCCAGAAACATGAATCTTCGGGGTATGGTGCAAGGCCCTTGGCGGGGTTGCAACAAACGCCATCTGTTCGACCGAGGCATAGCAAATGGGAAGAATAGCCAAAATCAATCGCTTCATGGACCAGTGCGCCAATTAAAAAAAACCTGCCATACCTCTGATTGTTGTGTAAAGCCTCACACTCCCCGGATTTGGTTTGCTCTGTTTCAAGCCCTGGTGGTTGTGAGTGTTGGTTGCTGCAAA